CAGGGCCTCTAAATTATTTAGTATTAACAGTTTAATTCTGCATCAACAGTAAGTCACAGAATTAGATAATTAGATTCCTCGCCTCCAAAACCTCTAGCAAAGTCCCGTAACATGCGTCCCATAACAAGTAGTGAGAAAGTGCAACATTAAATATAAATGATGCACATCATCTTTACAACAGCGAAACAGGAGGGAGAACAGAAATAGCATCTTTTCTTATGCATCTACTAACATATTCTTTAAATAAATTCATTACAACTCATCCTTTCAGAAACTGACAGTATGTAACACAGGACAGTCGTAATAGTCAGCAAAAGCAGATGATGCTGGATTATCAGGAATGCCCCACCGCGGTCCCTTGTGCATGATAGCAGCTGATGCTGTCAGCACTCGGGCCAGATGGGACAGACTTAATCTGCTTAGCTTCATAATAATCATGTGGGTAAGATGCCATTAGTGGGCTGGAAGCTGATGATGAGGTGAATCCTACATCCACTACCAGACCATAAGGAGAAAGGTGCCATTACTGAAATTCACAAATCCTCATAACCTACTTTGGTCTTTTTTTTTTCCCTACGTCTGACCCGGTCTCCAGTTTTCTGCTGTAATCCCATGGCACACCATTTGTGATTGTGTGTGTGTGTGTGTGTGTGTGTGTGTGTGTAATAGAGAGAGAGACTGTGTGTGTGTGTGTGTGACTGTGTGAGCACATTGTAATGCACTGGCATCCCATTCAAGTCTTATGTTTTACTTAAGCTCCAGATTGACATGCTCAGTATAACTGTGATAGATAACTGTGTCTAATAAGACTTCAGTGAGTATAAATAAGCATTAAATCAGATCAGTCTGTTAAAGGTGACCGAGTGTATTAAGAATGGGGAGCAGGGTAAATGTGGCTTCTAAAATGAATATATTATAGCTTCTAAAGCACTTTTCATTTCACTTTTTAAAAATGTATTGTTGCATGGCACAAAAATACATTTAGTAAAATATGCTGGTTCGTTTTATTTCTCTTTTGACTCTCAGCACTCCCCACTGCCGCAGTATCAGCACTGTTCCTGTCCAACCTTGCAGTGAATCACTGTATTGGACGATCGGTGTTGCTTGGCAAGCAACACAAATGACATTTACCTGTTTCCTATTTTGTGTTATTCATTAATAGATTGTTTGTGAGTCCACAAAAAAAAATCACCTTGGATAAACACATTTTATCACAACATGTAGCTGAAATGTGTTTTATTGACATCCTTAACTGTCCAAACTAGACGTCCAGCCACAACCTCTGAAAATACTGGAAACTGGAAACCGTAGCCACTTGGGGCTGATGGCTCCAAGATGAGCTGCACAAAAAAGAGACTGAAATGCTGAGCACTTCTACCGCTCCACCATTGAGAGCATACTAACATACTGTATCACAGTACGGTTTTCCCACTGCGCTAAGGCAGACCGGAAGAGACTGCAGAGTGTGGTCAAGACGCTGCAGAAAATCATCGGCTGCCCCCTCCCCTCACTAAAGGACATTTACTCATCTCACTGCCTCAGCAGAGCTGAGGGAATCATCAGAGACAGCACTCACCCTGCTTATCACCTGTTTCACCTGTTACCCTCTGGCTGGTGCTACAGGGCCATTAGGAGCAGGACCAATAGGCTCAGAGACAGTTTTTTCCCACAAGCCATCACTGCACTGAATACACACATATAACATTTTTTATAATACTATACTATAGTATACTATATACTAATATAGTATAATACAATACTTAACACTATGTATTATTGCATCTTCTTACTTTGTCTGTTGTACTACTGTCTATTGCAGAATGCCGTTTGTATTGCAAACGCAATGTCTGTATATGTCTGCACTTTAGAAGTAGCCACTGCAATTTCGTTGTACAAGTAGTATCCATGCTCCAGTATAATGACAATAAAGGCTTTCTCTCTCTCTCTCTCACTGGAGAGAACAGGGACATCAACCAGTAAATAGGGCAGCAGTACCAAAACTTAAACCAGGCGCTAAACAAACCTTCAAACTGGAAACTAGACAGTGGCTAACGGACTAAAACTGTGAACCTGGGAAAAGGATCCTGGCAGGCAGAATCAAAATTACATCCTGATTTTGCAGAGTTTAATACCTGGGGCAACAGGGGAGGGGCTTGTGTTTTTAGTTCTTTAACCAATCACATTCTTCATCGTATGACATCACCTCATTGGGCTGGTTTTTTTTCTCATTTTCAAACTGAAGGCTTCAGTTAGCAGCAGTGTGTGGCTCAGTGGACTAAGCCCCTGTACTTGTGATCAGAAGGTTGTTGGTTCGAGCTTTGTTATTATTATTATTTTTCTGTTATTATTATTACTATTATCACCATGAAATAAAGACACACCCTTACATTGTTCCATACAGCCTTTACAGGTAAGCACATTCCTGTGTTTTGTCTATGTTTATCCATGACATGTCCCTTAACAAAAGGCATACACAATAAAACAGGTACTTTACAAATCTATATGCCGTGCCACGTAACAGAAAACACTGCTTTTAATTAATATAGTGATGTCATGCGATAAAGACTGTGATTGGTTAAGGAAGTGAAACACTCTGCAGAATCAGGACATGCAATAATCACAAAGCCGGAGCAATTACACCAGAAATCTACACAGAAACCTGTAAATGAAGAACTAGCAAACTAAAATCATCCCCGAAAACCCAGAACATTCAAACCTAATGAAAACAACAAAACTGAAACCTTGAGTGAATCTCGCTGACCATATATCTCCTTTATATGGTGATGCTACTGCTGCAAAGATACCAAAGAAATATATTCTTCATTTAAAAGATGCACTACAAGGGTGTCTATTATCTCCTGTCATTTATAATACATGTGAAACTGACATCATTGATAATATAAGAATACAACTCATGATGTCATATGAGAATGAGTTAATTGCCACTGATATGTGATACCTATCCCAAACATAGACATTGGAATTTGCTATATTTCCTGACTTCTCTAATGATTTCTTTTGATACACTGGAATAATGCTTTCACACGAATTTAGCCATAAATATGATATTAAACTTTGTTCAGTGCAGAAATGGTAGAAGATATGGTGGAGGGCTCTGTGGTGGTTGGATGGTATTCATAGATCTAGATTTGTGGAGGAGTTTAAAAACCTCCTCCTGTTTCCAATATGAATGTCATATTTTTGCTGACACTAAGACAGTAACAGCATAACATGAATGTAATAGGATTAATTGGAGGCAAGTCTAAGGCATAACGATGGCAACACATAAGCTAATCCTCCCGATTTTCAACTGTACTTTCTGTTCCCATTGTCACACAATGCTGTGAAAAATGTCTATCCTTTGCATTTACCCTGAATGTTTTCAAATGGCAGTAATTCATTCACGTCATTGAAATCCCATTATTAAATCATATTTTAAAAAGGTGGAAAGCTCCATTCTTGCGACTTTATTTGGAAAAAAGCATTGCCTTTATTTATTCATTAGTATTTATTTATTCATTAGTACGAAGCTTTATCTCAGTCTTCTCTGTGCTGCAGATTAGGACAGGCAACAGGACACAGAGAAGGTGAGCGGGATGTTTTCTTGGCCAGGCAACTCCCTTGAAAGAGCCCCATCAGAATAAATCATATATTTCCTGTGAATTGTCAACAGACATGCAATGACCTGCTTCATTCCTTTCACAGTAAACTCACCTGTCACTTGTGAGATGGAATCTTTATTTAGTTTGTAAGGGGGGTTGTGGAGTGAAAAGATGAATGAATTTGATTAAAATAGTCAAATAAAATAGTAGTTACTCTATTTTTCTCAGAGCTACCTAGTGATTCTAGATGAAGTAAGCCATTGCGCACTGTCCCTCGTCCTTCATTTGGAATTAGCTTGCAATTTCTGAGTCGTGCAAATAGTCATTAAAACTAGGTGAGAGACCTCATGTAACAATGAAGGAGATGCCTGTCAAGGGGAAAGGTTACATAGAATTTTCTTAAATTTACATGTCCATAAATAAACCAATAAAATTCATTTTGCAACATTGCTGGTTCATGCATTTCATGCAGAAATTATATTAGTTCATGATTTGTACTTGAGTAGTAACTAAGTTATTTGTGGCCCCTCATGTGAAATGTTTATCAGTTAACAAAGGCATAAACGTGATATTTTTACAATGGCTATAATTCATACTTTGCTCAAAAGAGATTTTTTTGGCCTGTGCTCACGGCGATGATGTTCGTTAAATTACTTCTGGTTTGTCAGAGACCATCCGCCAAATCTAGACCACCTGAGTTTCTCCCTGGGGTTTGTTTGTTGTCGTTTTACGCAAAACAAATCAAAACTTATATTTGTCTATCAAAATTGTAATGTGTCCAGATCATACAACGATTTGCTAATATTAGGTTAGAAAAGGGCAACACAGTGAAGCTGATCATTAGGAAACTGGAAAAGTAAAGCAGCAAAACAATCAGTTTAGAGCACACCATCACCCCAAACTGAAGCGTTAGATAAGAAGTGTACTAGCTGTAATGCACAGTTTGGACCCTAACGTATGAAACCCTCCATCTTTTGGCTAAACTCTGCTCCACGTTGGGTCGTAGTTAATTTAGTATTACATGCAATGGTTTTCATTAAGGTTCCTTGTGTAGCTCTAAAATAGGTCACTGGTTATATCATATTATTTGTCATTCTTTTTAAATTGAAATGCACTTCAGTCTGTAAAATGTTACAGGATATTGTAGTTACTGCCTGTTCTACCACTGAGAGAAACATGGAAGCTGTATTGCATTAGGAATATTTAAAATCATCTTTATATAAAGGTTTATAAATTTAGGGAATAAAATGATTATTTGATCAATAGAATGTATATGTAGCATAACATGTTCTAGTGCCACAGAACAGTGTCATTGTGTTTTGCAAGAATTGCTTTTTGATATTAGGTCAGAATTTTTGTAATATTCTAATATCACGGTTGTGTTCTCCTGTGTCACAGGTGTAAAACCACTGGAGGTGACAGTAAGTCAGGCGAATGTCCGCGTGGCAAGGGGACAAACAGCCACTTTGTCCTGCACCTTCACAACTAGTGCAGCCCTAACAAACCTCAACATCATCTGGATGGTTATACCACTGTCCAATGCCAACCAGCCAGAGCAGGTAATCTATGGTCTCACTCAACCATGCCCTCCTTGCGAGACCTCCACAATGTACTCAATGGATCCAGTTTAAACTTTACAGGACATAAAGTACAATGCACACACACACACACACACACACAGGTTTGTGATTATATCTTTGTGGGGACTCTCCATTCATTTATATGGGGAAAACGCGAATCACAACATGATGACCTTACCCCCTACCCAGCCCTAACCTTAACCATAAGTAACCAAACAAAATATGAGACTTTTGGCATTTTTACTTTTTTGACTGCATTCACAGATCCTTGTGGGGAGCCAAAAAATGGTAGACATTCACTCTGTTTCTGCACATGGGTGCACACACAAACACAAACACACACACATCCAAATTTAACTTTATGAGGAACAGAGACAAGCTTTCGACTGCCTTGATCACTTTTTTGATGCATCCTGGTGGCATTATGAATTTGTGCTTCTGCGTAGTTCTAGCAGAATTAAATTATTATACAAAATTCATCAGGATATCTGCACTAGGAAGGGTATAGATGCTGAGTAGCAGGGCAGGACAGTCCTATAGGCGACATAGGCGACCGCCTAGGGTGCCAAATTTCGAGGGGGCACAGACTTGCCAGCTAACTTTGCCTTGGACAGGAGGCGCCGTGGGTGATGCTCGTCCAGGGAGCCACATCGACTAGGTCCGGTACTGCTTAGTAGTAATAGTTATATTGTTATAGTTATATTATATTTTGGATAATGGGTGGAAATCAGAGTATCTGGAGAAAATATACACAATTGTGGGAGAATGCACACAGAACAGCAACATTTTGATCATAATCTTATAATCTGGCTTTTATATATGCTATTTTTGGCATAGAGTGCATACATTACTTATTTTATCATTCCACAAAATACACAAAAACAAAACTTGTAGTCCTCGGTTTATGATTTTATCCAAATTTTCATTTATTCCAAACCAATTACTTGGATATCTGATAATTGTGATTCAATAGTGACCCGAACCCCAAGAATGAAAACTTTTAAAGTCTTGAATCAGGTTAACATACCTAATGGTTGAGTGTGAACCTTTGTTTGCCTGGAAGTGGTAGTAATTTTTCACATAAAACATACTGGGAGTACTGTTTTGATTTTAAGGAACAAATGTTGTTGATTGATCAAGGGATAATATTAATGGTTTATTACATATAATTAATGAAAATGAATAGATCATCAATCATCAATCTATCTTTCAAATGCTTGTCTAGTACAGGGTCTAGGGGAACTAGGTCTTATCCCAGACAGCATAAAGCACCTTAGATGGGATAGTGGATAAATTTGTGGATTATAAATAATCTTTCTCTTTTTGCAGGTTATCATCTACCAGGGTGGACAGGTATTCAGTTTAGCCAACCAGTTAAGTGGTCGTGTGGGTTTTGCTGCCATCATGCCTAGCACAAGTGCCTCTATCTTCATCAACAACACACAGCTCTCTGACACAGGGACATACCAGTGCCTGGTCAACAACCTCCCTGACAGAGGAGCTCGCAACATTGGGGTGATTGGGCTCACTGTCCTGGGTAAGTTTCACTGATATGGTGATATTCTGGAGGTTTTCTATTGTGAAGCTTTTATAGTAATGTCTTGTCATAATATCATCTATTTTACTATCATCTATAATCTTTTCTTCCAGCCTTGTCCAAACCCTAAATGCTTTGTTGTTACAAACAGCATTTTACTAGTAGTTAACTGAGAATCGTTATTCATTTGTAACTTGTGTTCACGTACTGTGCTCACAGAAAGACTTGGGATGTTTGCTTAATTCTGTAATAATGTTGCACATTTATTGGTTTCGTAACAAAAGTCCATTGACAAGCGATGTTTAACATATCTGGACATGTCTTCGACACACACATTATCTTTTTATTAAGTGTCTTAAGTTTTTTGACTGTTCTTGCAATTTTGCTATTAATTGTAATTGTAGTCATTGGCTCCCAAAGGGATACTAAGCACAAATGTTTGGTGTTTTATGTTATTTTACTAACAAAAAAACACTCAATGAAGCTGCTTGCCAATGAACATCATAACAGCTCTTTTAGATCTGTAATTTGAGTTTCAATTTATCACTACTCAAAATGAATATAAAATCAATCATGACAGTTCATGTATTTCATGGGGAAACCTATATTAATTCATAATTTGTTCTTGAATAGTAAATGAGTTGTTATTTTGCCCCCTCAAGTGTTACCATTATTAACTATTTCGTTCACTGTTAACTAACATAGTGCCTGAATGGAATAGATGAACTGTCATGATTGATTAATGATGAACAAGCGTGGAATCAGTACGCAACTAACATTTGGTTACTGATTAATTAATGCATTAAGCATGCATGTACTACTACATTATTCATGTCCTGTCAGTGTGAGCGATTTTTGTTATAAAACCAACAAATTTGCATCTTTTTATTGAATGAAGAAAATTATGCATGACTTTCTGTGAGCACTGTACAAAGAAGCATGCAACAGTTTAGTACCAGGCACTAAAAGCAATGCAGTGGGCATGTCGCATAGAAATTAAAAACAGGCTTGTGTTTCCAGCAATTCTGATTTGTGATAGCACAGATGTACAGGAAACGACAGCACAAAGCTAACCACCTTTTTCACCGTGCCCAGTGCCGCCCTCCATTCCCCATTGCCGCATCCAAGGCAGCCTAGACGTGGGGAGTGACATTGTGCTAATGTGTGGCTCAGAAGAAGGGATCCCCACGCCCACGTACGCGTGGGAGAAGCTGGAGTCTGTGTCCAAGCTGCCCAGCTCTGCCATGCAAGGTACGTCATCCTTTTATTGCACGTTTGCTGGTAACTTCTTTGAAATTTTCACGTCGGCAGAAATTCTCATTACTCTGATCCCATATCTGGAGCCTAGTTATCATAATAAAGAATGCTTTATCAAATGGCCTTAAGCAATAGCGTATGCCTTCTTCAGATAAAACAGCACATTTCTTACAGTTGTCCTGTGTTTCTTCTTGTTTGTAGCCAACTTGAAACAATAAGACTGACTTTTTTGTCTAAATTGAAAAAATATAGTAATAGTAATAGGATAATTGGTTCACACAATTATATGTCATACTCAGAATGGTATTTTTTATAAATGTTTAATGAAAGATAGAATATTGAGAATAACACTGAAAGAAGTACTGGTAACATTGACAGTCATAAGTTATTATAATGTTGATTATAATACTTCATACGCTCCAATGAAGCTCTCGCACTATAGATACCTTCATAAGGTATAAGGTCTTATAATGATCAGTATAAGAACTAAGGATGCTATGCTTTGTACTGCATTATGAAGGTATCTATTGTGCATTATAGATGAGCTTCATAAAGCATTCATAATGCATAATAAACATTCGTATAATGTGTTATGCCTTTAATAAATATTTACAGCCATATATTAATGTTTTATGAATGCATTATGATGTATTATGAATATGTTCATAGATTGTTATGGGCATGGTATTCATATTACTAATAATAATACAACCTTTGTAACTCTTAGAATATCGATATGCATTTGGTTGTATGTTTCAGTAGAATGACCCTTAATACATTTAAATCCCACAAATTACAAAAGTGATTAATATTGTTATGTAGTAGTTCTGGTTACATTTTTAATCAGAACAGCTTGTGTTTTTCTTAGACCAGATACATGGAACAGTTTCCATGCGGAACATCAGCACAAGCACCTCGGGTCTGTACCAGTGCACTGCCTCCAACGCCATTGGGAAGAGCACATGTCTGCTGAATTTGCAGGTGGCCTGTAAGTGAAGAACAACATGCGTTCTAGGGTCCTATCATTTAGCGAATTACCACGTGTCCCCCTGTATAGACGATAAGCTACATTAAGAACTTGTATTCAATTATTAAATTAAATAAACAGGAATAACTAAGGCTTCATAAAATAATAAAAATGGATGTTTGTTCTTCAGTATAAATAATCCATGAGTTAATATTTTGAGTGGAATTATTATGAGGTTGAAAGAAAACCTAGCAAAGGTCTCCATGTAGAAAAACCAACTCTTACCTTGGTCACGCTTTATCAATATAAAGATCTTTCATTACTAATGCTGGATTCTTATTATGCAAAGCTATCTGCGGTATCTTAAATATTAAGTTCTTAAAAATTTTAGGTCAGTTTATTTGAGGAATCTTGTGTGTATTCTAATGGGTCCATTTGAGCAGATAACTCTTCTTCTTTGGCTGCTATTTTACTAGGTCATTCTCCTTATGCTTTTCTGCAGCTCAGTCGGAGAATGTCGGCCTTATTGCTGGTACCATCGCTACGAGTATTCTAGCTGTCCTGATGTGCTCCTTCTTGGTGGTGGTCACTCTCGTCTGTATGAAGAAAAAGAATAAATATGAAGAAGAAGAGATCGCCAATGAAATCAGGTCGGGCTTCACTGCAGCACCTTTACTGCAGCCACAGTGTTCATCCACACGGACAGAGCATTAAATCCCACACCTAGAGATCTGAGGTCACCATGCTGCACTCAGTAAATATGTCCATTCTGTAAGTTACAGCAATTATCATTGCTAATTAGTCATACATTACATGCATACTCAAATGTATAATTATGAATGATTTTTACTGACAATAGAATTGAAAAGCATATGTATTCTAAACAGCATTTAAGAAGGTCAGGCAGTCAAACAAATTCAGTGTTATATTTTATTTTTTTGATGCATGATTCTGTTTGTCATGATTCTGTTTGTCATGAGCAAAGAAAATCTTACACAGCCCCTGTTTTAACATGCATATATTCATGTAAAAGCCAGTATGTTATTCAGAAGGAAAAATGCGAATTTTATTCCTTAATAGCACCATAGATGCACACTATAGAGTGAGCAGTTTGTAAGTTGCAGTTGTAAATCTAATCACATTCAAATCGATTTCAGTTAAACTGATGGTGAAAAGTTGGGAATGGACCATGTTTTAACAAAAATATAACAGATTATTGAAAAGTGCATTAGTGTAAGAAATATGGCTGATGTAATGGACACTAAAATCAGATTAAAGTAGGGAACAGTACTTTACAAACAAGCCACACAGGGTCAGAAGAAAGGACAGTAACATACATATATATAGCATATATTTTATGCACAAATGTGAATGTAGTGTTGTCACTATGCTCATTGTCATTACTGTGACTGGGGACACAGCAGTCAAGATGCAAAGAGTAGCTGGAGGCAGAGGCGTAGGTGTTAAGTGGCGTTAAGTAGTTTTACCAATAATCTCTTCTATGCCTCCGCTTCTAAATGAGTCCTGTTTGAAACTGGTTGTGGAGCTGGCCTTCTTGATTAATTTGTTCAGGCATTTGGAATCGCCTAAAGTGCTGTTGCTCCCCCAGCAAAGCACAGAGGAGAAGAGCACATTAGCAGCAACAGACCTGAAGAAGATCTCTAGCAAAATATTGCTTACATTGAAGCAAATGCCTGCTGGCGTTTCTTGCATAATGCAGCTGTATTGTCTGTCCAGTCCATTTACATCTATGGCATTTGGCAGACACCCTTACCCAGAGCGACTTGCATAAGTACATAACTATTCTGCTGTTTAGATGATGTTCCAGGTGAAGGTATAACTTCATCACTTCCTTATTCTTTTCCTGGATTGTGACAAATCTCAGGGGCTCCCTGGTACACAAAAAATCCACCATCAGCTCCTTTGCCATGCTGATTTTCAGCTTCAGGTGGTTCTCCTCTTGCAACAAGAGTGCCACTTAGTTTGATAAGCAGTTTTGGAGCTTCATGAATCTCTGCCAGTCAGTACAGTAGTCTGTGATCCAGGAAACAATGGGGAACCTGTCAAATTAGAGAGGCAGAATTATGTTGAACAGCACCTCATCCGCACCTGTATCTGCCTAGTAGGCAGACTTTAGAGATTCATTGTCACTGTATCAGAGTCTTCAGGAATTGTGTGGTGCGAGGAATGAGTCAGTAGTCCTTGAGGGTACAGGAGTACCCGATCTCTGGTACTAGGACTGTCTGAGGTATCTTCTTCAGGTTCATGGAGAGGGAAAAAAAATAGAAGAAGAATAATGCCACCAAATTGGCACATGTGTTGAACACCATGGGGGTGATACCGTTATGCTCTACAGCCTTTCCTGTACAGAATCTCTCCAACTCTGTCCTGGTCAGCAGAGATAGACAGATTGGGAGGGGTAGTGGCACCTCAAGGGGAGTGTCTTTGAGGGAAGGTAACAGGAAGAGTTAGAGAAGGGGTCAGGGGTCAGTGCCGGTGTTGGGGGAGAGTCATGCCTGTGAATGAGAGTTAAATGTTTTAAAGTAGAACCATGTCTGAGTTTTCCTGCACCACCATATTACCAGCTTCCTTGTAGCCATTAAAGATTCTCTTTCCACTTTAAACCCCCTTCAGGTTGTGCTGCTGAAGTTTGCACTCCAGATTTTCCCTCTAGACGTTGTATCTTCCTTTTCATGTGCCCTGAAGGGCCTTTTCTTCATCTTCAGCAAGTCCTTTCGGTCCTTTTTGGTCTATTGGTAAACTAGGTATACTGTCTTTTTGGAAACTAAGTTCCAAAACAGAAGTGGATGTAGTCTATGGTACAGTGGCTACCAATGTCCACCCTGTGTGCATTCCCAAGTCAATCTTACAGAGTTTCCTTAATCTCATTTTCTTCCACTTTTTCACAAGGCTGCTGGAAGATGAGTGTGTATGTGGGGGTGGCATACAACAGGCTCAGGGTCCTGTTCTCTCTAATTGCACTGTCCACAAACTGGAAAAAGTTGGTGAGAGTGGAGGAGTGGTCTGTGGTGAGTGTTCTGATTATATTGTATATTACCACCATTGTAGATACAGCGTCAGCTATGTAAAAAAATTCCCATTGCAGGTAATATGGCCAAAGTACCACAGCAAGCTAAATGATGCCTTAATTGGTTTAACATTCTCACAAAGTAAAACGGGGCTAAGATTCTGTAGCAGCTGAATAACACTTTTTAATAACACATAGGTGCACCCACAAAATAGAACATTACAGTTTTCTAGCCTGGAACTTAAGAAGGCATTGATTAGTTTTTCCGCATCGTCGATGGACGGCGTCTTATCAAGCTTGGCTGTATTCCTCAAATGGAAGGAAGCTGTTCAGGCAGAATTTTAAAAGTGAGCATCAAAAGAGTATGACACCAAGACTTTTAACCGCTGTGCTTTATTTGTTATTGCAGAAATCATCACGTTTTACAGCAAGCAGGACTAAGGAACAGTGCTTGTGTTTTATCTGAGTTTAGTAAGTGGAGGTTATTGGCAGTGATGGCTCACTTGGTTTGACTGTAGCTGTGCATCGTCAGCATACTGGTGAAATCCATCACCATATTTTCTAATAATGTCACCAAGGGGCAGTAAATGCAAAGCAGACAGTACAGTACATGGTTGATGATGAGTATGTGCCCATGGAGAAGAGAGCAATGGGGAGAAAGGACATCAGTCATGCCAGCTAGCAGAATGGGGCATAAAGGAAGGGTGGCAGTGTTAACTAGCTTTAACTTGGTACACACACTATTGTGGCCAGTCTTAACCATATTGCTGTTCTAGGGCCTCTCTTCTGAGAACCATGCTTCTGACTTTGCAGGACGCTGTGGGGTATTATACAGGTAGGAGATTATACTCCGTCACGGCCGTCCTCTGGACCCAGTGGACAGGTTTTGATAACACTATGATGAGGTCTGTTTGCTGATTGTTGATTCAACCCCTTGCAGTCCATTCCTTTGGAATGATAGAATTAAATGTGGTTCATGTATTGGTGCACCTGCAACAAGTGGGGTTTGCCCACAAGAGTACGGAAGTGCAACCAATTTCTCAAGTTTGTTCCTCACGTCAGTGTTTCGCAACCCGGTTCTTGGGGACCCCTATCCAGTCCACATTTTTGCTCCCTCCCAGCTCCTTGCTAAACAGTCCACATTTTTGCTCCCTCCCA